GTGTGTGTGTGTGTGTGTGTGTGTATGTGTGTGTGTATGTGTGTGTGTATGTGTGTGTGTGTGTGTGTGTTTGTATGAGCTTATAGTTATATATATATATATTTATATATATACATGAATATTCGCAGGGCTGTGTACATATATGCCCCTTTTTTGCTCCATACATATGGGCGTCTCCATGCTTTCATCTGTATGGACTGGAGACGTCGCTCTAATTTTTTTCTTCTAGTTGCTGCAATCCATTTAAACCACTACTTGTGTTGACTGTACCTTGTAGGTCGGTTTGTAAAACTCACCTTATATGTATTTCAGTGAAGTATCGGACCACGCCTTTCCTTTTTCTGCGCACAACCAACAAATCTTCAAAATGTAATGACTGACAATCCCTATTCTGTATGTACTTGAATTTCACCCTTGTAGTCCTCCAATATCTTTTTCGGTGTGAAGTATATAGCCATCATATTTTATCGATCGCAGCATCTGCATTGGTATATGGTTTAATGCACCGCAACAAACAACCATCAGAAACGGAATTATTGCTGAACACGATGTCACAAACTAGCAATAGAAGAAATCTACGTTTCTAACCAGACTAGTAGCACAAGTAAGCATATGTTTACACACACAAAAGAATGGTATTGCCGCACTCTTTACAAACTAGCGTCTAAGATTCGATCGACAACTATCTCGACCACTCTGAACAGTCCACTGACGAACCAGAAGAAGACTGGGTAAATACACAGCGAAAGGTGTTCACCCGCTGGGTCAACGAATACCTACAATTCAAACATGAGCCCATTGGTGGCAACGAAGTCCTGGAAGACGCGTTGGCTGACGGAGTGCGGTGAGCGCTTTGCTGATACACTAATAGATTGTACATGGATACAGTAATTAATATATAACTGGCTTTACATATGAGTAATGGTAGTGCTTTCTGCGTCCGATTGCTGATTGTATTTGTTTCGTTTCTATACTTCAGACTTCCAGAGTTAGTAGAAGAGCTCAAAGGTGGGAGTCAAATATTCACGAGAATGGCCGAAAATAGACGTGGTAATAAGCTATTCGTGATTGTATCTCTGGGAGCCGTCCTAGAGTTTCTACAGTCGAAAGAACAGGTGCAGCTGGTGAACATCAGCGCAGAAGGTATGATTTCGAAGTTGACTTAATTCGTAGTGATGAAATCTGTAGCTTTCTGCGCCGGAGCCATATCACAACATCTACTGCCCGGCATAACAGCTTAGAATGAAGGCTTGGCTGTGGAACAATGTGTTTAACCAATACAGAGAGCTTACAATTATAAACACGATGCTCATTACAGACCTGTACGAAAAGTCCACGAAGTTATCTCTGGGACTTGTGTGGACCTTGATTCGCCACTATCATATCTTCGTTAATCTCGAAGACAAACGAGATAGTGATGAAAAAAACGAAGTTAGACAGAAGAAAAAGAGCACAGACCCGAAAGCGAAGCTCTTGAGACAGATTAATCGTATCTACGCTCTCCGTGGAATGGATCCGGTCAGGTGAGAAAGAATGAAAAAGGTTCAATTAAATGAAAATAGCATTGAAGGCTAGAATATCTTATCCATGCCGTTCAGTTGACTTGCCACGACTCGATGTAGTAAATAAATGCCTTGACATGCCACCACGATGCAAAATATGTACCAAGATACCACACGAATATACGATTTGTGCAGTAGTCTTGCGAAGTTTTTCAATCCGCATCGTGTGCACCTTTATGTGTAGTTGTGATCCGGTGACGTTTAAAAAGTGAATAAGGTGGGTCAATCGTAGCTTTTATCGAACCAGCTACTTGTACTAATTTTGACCTACGGATACTCTCACTCCGACAGCAACTTCAAATCTGCTTTTAAAGATGCAAAACGCTTCTACGCTCTCGTTCAACATTTGAGATCCGAATGTCCAAGAGTTGAACCCACTCCTTCGCCCTTAGAGGTTTTTGACGACATGGCGCGCTTCAATACACTAAGTCTCGGGGAGCAATTCGCTGATACATTCCGTGCTGCCAAGGAGGAATTTGACGTAAGTGCTCGTGCTTTTTAGTTAATATTAAGAATCCTTTAATTTTGATTTACCCGCTGAGTTAAGCAACCGGCTTTTCTATTCTATGATCTACATATTGCTCATCGTAATAATGTACTATTCCTCTATCAGATTCCAGACCTGCTCGAGGCTGATGATTTTAGTGAAGGCAAGTTTGGCGAACACGTCGTCATGACGTACCTGTGTTACTTTTTGAAAGAGCAAAAGAAATATTGGAAGTACCACCCAAAACGTAGACCTTCACAAACTGGTGTGCCTTACCTTTCACACCCTCACTTGGCTGATGGTCAGAGCAATTCGCAAGAGTGTGAAGTTGTTGATAAAACTACAGATGAGCTAGAGGACGCTGAGCGAATCGAGTTGCGGCTACAGCAAGAAAACCTCGAGGCAGAGAGAATTGAGCTTAAACTGGCCGATGAGTGGCGCAAAGAAAACGAGCGCATCGATTTATGCCTACAGGAGGCGAAAGTAGAAGCCGAACGAATTCAACTACAGCTGGTCGAAGAAAAATTCCTAGAAAATGGTATCCAGTTGCACTTGGCAGAGAAAAAGGTGGAGGCCGAGCGGATTGAGCTACGACTGACTGAAGAAGCGCGCAAAGAAAACGAGCGTATCGAGTTGCGATTAGCAGAGGAGCAGGAGGAAGCAGAGCGGCACGAGATGAAGCTGGCGGAGGGAAAGCGCCAAGAAAATGAGCACATTGTATTGCGGTTGGGGGAGGAGAAGAAAGAAGTCGAGCAGATTGAGCTGCGACTAGGGAGCGAGAGAGTTGAAGGGAAAGCTTTGGATCTCAGAGCCGAAAGACGCGGCAGTGACCATGTTAATTTCCTTCTTGAGGCGGGAAGAAATGAATTGGAACATGTCCGGTCGGATTCACAAGATCGAATGCAAAGAAGAATGGAAGAGGATTGGGTGGGTGATGCAGAAGCTGTATCCGAGGAAGGTTCTCTACAACAAATGTATAGCCTTGAGTTCCTCAACCTTGGTATTGATATGGTGGATGCAGCGACCAACACAAGTCCTTGGCCAAATACATTGTCTTCTACGCCTGCGTCTGGTAGCAAGTGTTTTGGCCACGATACTGATAATAATCTTGCTACTTGTATTGTGCAAGCTCATATTTCGATGAACGATAGCCTGATGACAAGGAGATTGCAAATGCCCCAGTCCTCAGGACAACTGAGGAGTGACTTTTCTGCAAGTCTAGAATTCATCGACGACGATGATTTCAGCATAGATCGGGGTTTGATTTGTCGTAGGGGCAGTGCTAGTACGGACACGGAATATGCAGACGAAAATACAAATCAAGAAGATGTGTATTCAGTCAACGAGGTAGGTAGACCTAGACGCAGATCCTCTGGTGAGTTGGAAAGGAGCTTCAGTGCCAGTTTAGAGTTTTTGAACGACTTCGATGATGGATTATTAGACGTGCCGTACAAGAATGCAAATCAAAACACAGAAATATATTGGGATTCTGACTACGAAGAGGTCACTGAGGACCACGATGACGACACACATAGCATCGATAACAATTTTGGTCTTATGATGCACAGGGGCAGACCAAGACGTCGATCATCAGGTGAACTGATCAGGAGTTTCAGTGCAAGTTTGGAGTTCCTGGATAATTTCAATGACAGTGTACTTGATATGGCGATTCAAGGGAGAGATATCACACAAACGGTGCACTTTGGCAATCATGTGCGCCAAGAAGTAGAGAACGATCTGAAGTTCGAAGTAGATGTAGATGCATATGTGGAAGATGACGTCTTTTGTAGCACAATTTACTTGAATAGTAGCTTCAGCGACGTATCTGATGAGTCTGAAGACGATAATTTTGCTTTCGAGCCTCAAGTTAATGTAGATGCAGCTTCAGACGGGATGCTGCACAGCACAGCAGTCTTAAATGGAGACGGGCGATTTTTGGACAGCGAGTCTATCACATGCTTCACTGTCGACACTCCCGAGCAGACTCGCGGACTTGACCAGCAAGCTCTCGAAGGCGCACACCTAGCGCAAGATGATGAAGAGCCAAGAGAGCTTAGTGGTACCTTCGAGCGGTTGCGACTGGCCAAAAGCTTCCATAAACAGAAGGGCGACTTATTCAAGTCCGATGGAAGTGATTATGGGTCAGAGTACGCTACCGAGCGACTTTCAAGCCCTAGTTGTTCATCGGCAACCAATGGCAAGTACAGCAGTGGTACTTCGGCAGTGTCTACTTTGAATAATGTACTACTATATGGCATTCATAGCGAAGTTGCGGAAGCATTGCCGAAGAAGCAGACCTGTCTCACACTAAAAAATACAGATTTCTCTGCCTGCTTGGAGTCAGACAGCCTCAGTGATCTTGGGTTGGTGATGTTGTTGGACGATACGGCGTCTGGGACATGTACAGGTGTTGATGAGGGAGTGCAGCAACTCGCAAAGCTCCAGTGTAAAATAGTCAATTGCTTGCTATCGGCTTCACCTGAAAATTTGGCCTCATTTCAGATTGATTTGAGAAGTGTGGAAATGTCACCCACGACTGTGAACATCGAATTTAATGCTCTCACTAGCAGTCTCACCTTCAATGCAATAGCAGGTAGGACAGACGGGGCAGGTACGATACCCTGCAAATTTATCGACAACAATAGTTTCAATCTCGAATCGTGGCCGTCTGGTTGCATTCCAGTAAAGCACAATGGTTTCAACGACACGTCGTTTTCAGGTGATGATAGAGCCACGATGTCATCTTCGAAGGAGGATGAGATATACGAACGCATGCTGGTAAGACAAGAGATCAGCTGTGTAGCAACCAGCAGTATACCGCAATGCAGTTTGCCATATATCCTGCGAGCGCATCAGTCGCACCAGCAAATTTCCGAGTGTCAGGAAAGTGATGCAAGCAATGCACAAAACGAGGCTGCCGTAAAATGGAATATTAGCCCTGCTGTTGTCGCCCTTTTGACGTGTAGTCATATGACGGGAATAGGACGTGGACGAGCCAGAAGAGGTGCCTATAATATAATGACGCAGACAGAGCCACATATGGCGGTGCAACATCTGCTAAATGTAGCAGCTAGATTCTAGGTTGAACAATACAAGATGATAGTGCACTTCGCGTGTGCTCAAAAATCTCAGAATATCTGATACGGTATCAGGAGACAGACCTTTGGCTAAGGACTAGAAAAAACAATATTCCAACGATAACGTGGCCACGTGTGTCCGTGAAACTTGCTTAGAGGTAGCTATTGCATGCGGGTGTAAGTTAAAAGGAGAATATCTGTATCGATAACTAGATATTCGACTTTCGTAAATGGAAAGAAAACGCTATTAAACCGTTCAGTCATCCGAAATTTTAGAGGCACTCACTATCCAGCTGCCTCAAGCATACATCCAAGTCATATGGTAGGTAAAGTGTCTTATAAATACCTTTTTAATTGGTTCCTTTGCTACCGACAGTAGGGTGGTTGCTCAAATGAACAGTATTTGATAGCTATCAGCTAACTTTTATGACTCCATGCAGAATTTAAATACAATACTTTGGAACTTCTCAACTGGTACTTTTCCTGCATTTTGCATTGTACGCGATGATTATTTGGTGGTTTTGATGGATGCGGTATACAGTCTGTATTCTACTTCACCAGAACAAAAAATGTCAGGTACTAATTATCTTATACAGACGTACTATTTCATGTTTTTTTCACATTCATCTATCACTAGTAAAGTGTAACATGTCATCCTTATATATTCAGGCTCCCAGTGATTTTGAAAGTATTCCTGTGCTAAGAGCTTGTTTTGAACTCTTATCAGAGCTGTACGAATCACAAAAGGCCGTGATATTGTATTCCGTCGTAGTCGCATTTAAACAACACTGCCCGTTTATTAAAGAGTCCTCTCTAACTCATTCAAGGGACATTCCGCGTGAGAAAAAAATGAGCTTCATTAAAAATCTCCCAACAATGTAGCACAATCTTTTTCACTTGTTTTGCGTATAACTCAGGTCACAGCAACGTAGACCTGTACATAAAGTAGACATTATAGGCGAATACATTCACGCGGACGAACGTACGTACATCTCAAATTTGCCGCTTAAAATTCGACACGCGCTTGCGTAGCTGGGGTAAGTAAACTCATAATCGAGAATAGTCTTCTTCCCAATGTCAACGAATACATATATTACAATATTCGCTATGCCGTACTTTAGACCCATCTATCCCACGCTTTGATCGAAGCCCGCAGCAGCTTAGCAACGACGCATAGATACCTACAACTTATAGGTATGGTATTATATATTTCAACAGCAACAAACACTGTAGTTGACATATTTTTTCTCGTGCTTTTTTTTTTAGTTGGTTTCACTATTACGATGTTTGGAGCACATCCTTTATCACTGCAACTAATATGGCAATTTTCTCGAAGTGTTCCTCGCAACGTGTTGAAGACAGATTCTGTAAAACGGAAGATTACCAAATTATGACTCCCCCCCCCCCCCATCCTCTAAGTACTATATTTAGAGGTAAATAAAATAGAAAGGTGGGACATTTGCCTTTTTTTGGGGGCAACATTTTGGCGGACCATTGGAAAAAAAAGTGTACTGTAGAGTGTAGAGTGTAGAGTCTGTAGTATGAATATCACAAATATATGTATGTAACACACATAGCTCAATCTTTATTAGTTTGGATCATATACGTAGCACACATACCTCAATCAACAATTTAAGTCTTATGTAACACAAATATCTCAATTAAAATCGTCAAATGTCGCAACCACTGATACAGTACGTCATCCTGAGAAAAGATCTCATCCGAACGTTAGGTTGGCCTATTGGAAGGTGGGAAGGAAATCTGACAATAAACCTGTTATCAAACGTATACCTGAAGTACATGCGCTATATCTATTCACTCAAATATATCGTAGTTCATTTAACACAATGGGTAAGTATATTCAAAAATATGGACTAGTACTTTATTTGGAAATTCGTACAGTATGTTCATTTGTCGTGTAAATGGCCACCCGTCACAGAGTACATGCTTATATCTATATCAAATGTTTGAATTCTTTATGCGTATATGTTTTGGATTGTACACATATGTGTCACATTGTCTCTTGTATCTATCTATTGCAGTGCATCTGTTGCTATGCAAATTTGTATTTACTTGCTATGCATTGATAGACACCAATGGCTATCAAATTTTTACAACTATTTTTTTTGCATCCCGATGTACACATTTTACGAACTTTCGAAAATTAGCAGTACATGCAGAAGAGGTCACAAGACTTGGATATAAACACTCTTGCATCTACCTATGATCTTATCATCTTGAACTTACCTCGTTCACAAGTGAATATCATATGGAACAAGCTTTCCCATGTGTCTTCTGTGTAGAGAGTTCAAGTCTCACCTTTACATCCAGTTACGTTGCTATTCGTGCTGCAATCTACCGCAGAGCATCTTTGTTAAAATATACGCCAGTATTGGCCCTTTTACTGCCTTTTTAGTGTTTATAATCAATATATACGTACATATATATATATATATATATATATATATATATATATATATATATATATATATATATATATATATATATATATATATATATATATATATATATATA